ATCATCATCATCATCATCATCATCATCATCATCATCATCATCATCATCATCATAATAGTGATAATAATAATGATAACACAGTTTAGCATGCATATAACGAACGCGCACATAGTGAAACACACACACATAGCAAACAGATTTACCAATCAGGAATTTCATCTTATATGTAAATTTTTTCTTACATGCAAAATTTTTCTTTGTATTCAAAACACGTACAAAGCAAAATTCATTTCCAAACATAATGGAACGATTTCTGCATCCCACTGATATTTCGCTGTGTGCATGTTAGACTGTTTGTGACTTTTTTAAAGCACTCTTAAGTCAGTTTGAGTACTTTTAACACCAGAGACAAAACACTTGTTTGGTAAATATTGTACGCGTTGCATAAGCTGATAAAACACTCAGACACTTACAAACTGCCGAGATCTTCCATAAATGTCGAACGTTTTGCCTAAGCTGATTAAGCATTCAGACACTTACAAACTGCCAAGATCTTTGGTAAATTTTGAACGTTTCACATAAGCTGATGAAGCACGGAAACTCCAGCAAACTGACAAGATGTTTAGTAGACGTTGAATGCGTTACACAAGCTGATTAAGCATTCAGACACTTACAAACTGACAAGATCTTCCATAAATGTTGATCGTGTTGCATAAGCTAATGAAGCACCCAAACACTAGCGAACTGCCAAGATCTTTGGTAAATGTTGAATTTGTTGTATGTCGTTTTCGCTGTGTAGACTTTCTCTGGCGGTAAATGTTGAACGTGTTGTGGTTGGTGGGTGGGTGATTGGTGGGTGCTCTGGTGTGGTTTGCTTCTTCTTTCCTATCAAACATCTATCGTCCTTATCTCCCCTTCTTCTTTTTTACGTTTGTAACTCTCTTGTAACACAATCTTCGTCACGTATATGACCTTATTGTGTTGCTAGTGCCATAAAACATTAACTAAAACTAAAACTAAAACTAAAGAACGTGTCGTATATTGTTTCCTCCGCTGTGTAGACTTTCGTCGGCGGGAAAGTGGCTGTGGCGGGCATGTCTCTGAACATGTACGAGGACCAGATCACTGTGCTGTTGGGTCACAACGGAGCTGGTAAAACCACCACCATGTCTATGCTCACTGGTGAGTTATTTAGATCGAATAATAATAATAATAGGCCTAATTATAATAATGATAATAATAATAATAATTATAGTAGTAGTAATAATAATAATAATAATAATAATAATAATAATAATAGTAGTAGTCGTAGTAGTAGTAGTAGTAGTAGTCGTCGTAGTAGTAGTAGTAGTAGTAGTAGTAGTAGTAGTAGTAGTAGTAGTAGTAGTAGTAGTAGTCGTCGTCGTAGTAGTAGTAGTAGTAGTAGTAGTAGTAGTAGTAGTAGTAGTAGTAGTAGTAGTAGTAATAATTTTAAAAAAATAATAATAATAGTAGTAGTGTTAATACTAATACTAATAATAATAACAATAATAATACTACTACTACTACTACTACTACTACTACTACTACTACTACTACTACTACTACTACTACTACTACTACTACTACTACTACTACTACTACTACTACTACTACTACTACTACTACTACTACTAATAATAATAATAATAATAATAATAATAATAATAACATATTGCATTTATATCTGGCATCATTTTAAAAGTAAGGTATATATGCAGCTTTTACAAGTTAACAGGAAAGCCAAAAAACTGAATGTTGGCACCGAGAAAACTTGCATTAAAGATAACAAGGAAGTTGTTATCAAAATGTATTCTTGAAAATATTTACTTGGAATGTTTGCAAAGAGTTCGTTTTCTTTCTAACATCATGCTTGTATGTGTGAGTCATGCATAATTGAATTACATCATTGTGCATGAATATAATGAGTGCATTTCTGTGCTGATGCTGAATCTTCTTATGTTGCTTTTCTGTAGTGCCTACCCAAAATTTCCCTTCATCATCCTCATCATGATCATCACCATTGCCTTTCTCACCATGCATCAGGGTACAGGACACGAACAAACACTTTTCACCTCTCTCTATTCTTGGCTAGCCTCTTGATGTTCTTCCATGTCTTCCTACTTTTCTGCACATCAATTTCTGTGATTCCTGTGAAGATCGATAAACTCTTGCTTAATCCTAAACCACTTCTCCTCTATTCCTCCAGGCTTCATCGCTCCCAATTCCGGTACAGCAGTGGTCAACGGATACGATATTCGGTCCAACATTGACGAAGTCCGGGAGACCCTGGGTCTCTGTCCACAACACGATATTCTCTTTGACCTGCTGACCGTCCGAGAACACCTGTACTTCTTTGCTAAGGTACATCATCATCATCCTTGCATTTTTCACCCTGGATCAGGATATAGGCCACGAACAAACACTTTCCACCTTTCCCTATCCTGGGCTAGTCGCTTGATGTCACTCCACATCTTCCCACTTTTCTGTACATCCTTTTCCGTGACTTTTCTCCAGGTTCCACGTGGACTTCCCCTTGATCTTTTACCCTGTGGGTTCCAATTTAACACTTTTCTTGTTATGCAGCTGCCTGACTTCCTGAAAGTGTGTCCAATCCATCGCCAACGCCTTCTTCCCACCTCATCTCTGACTGGGCTCTGTCTCGTTCTTCTTAATACTTCTTTGCTAAGGTACAAGGAGAGCTTACTTATAACAATAATAGATAGCATTTGTATAGTGCAAATCCCTGCTCAACAGCGAGCTCTATGCACTTTACAAGCTGTATTATTACCTCAACAGACCTGAGAGTATTCTGAAACAACCTCAACTTCCTGGGAAGCATACAGTGCAAGCTGCCATTTATGGGTGCTAAAACATTAACGTACTGACAAGATCTTTTGCTGTCTAAAGCTGGCATTCCATATGCCCGAAAAACCGATGTGAACTTCGGGTCCGAATTTCGTATGAAAAAAGAGCCCTCCTTCCATATACCCGAAATTCATACCCATCATTTCTGACTGAAATCACGGCACCAGTTCAGCCAGAGCAAGCACTCTACGTTGAAAACGAAAGAACTTTGCTGTTAGAGCTCTTGTTCCTACGAAAGCAGGCTTTAAATTGCTTCGTCCAGACTTGATGATGGTCCTTCCTTCATAAGCTTTGCTTTCTTGGGTCGTTTTCTTTTCGAAGCTTCGGTCCTATCACTGATGGCGCTGGCTGATGTGGCTGCGGCACAGACAGCAGTCTTAAGTTATAATTAATGTATGTTAGAAGTTATATTCAAGTGCATTTAAGGGGGGGGGGGGTGGAGAGAAATGCTATTTTTGTTATTGCATGATTTAAACGATAAATGATAGCATAGATAGATTACTTAGACTTAGACTTCCGGAAGTTTCCCATAAATTGTTTTTTTTAAGTAGTTGCCATGGAAATGGCAGCCGCCTTGAAAATAAAAACCTCTTTTCAGTCTTAGTTTTAATTTTAACACTTCTCTCTCGAACCAAGGAAATCAACATTTCGACGTTTTCCCACCTACCTAGTGCTTCCATGCTGCTTCGTTCCTTTGAAGTAGATTTGGCTTGAAATTAGCCCCACCCACTTCACGAAGAATTCGGGTGCCGAAGAAAAAAGTTTCGCTCCCTCGTTACGAAACAAAATCTTCGCATGCGAATTTCGGACTCGGCCATGCGAAATTCCAGTACGCCTATATGGATTTACACAATGACGAAAAGGTTGGTGCGAAAAAAATAGTTCGCACGCGAAATTTGCACCCGAAGTTCGCATCGGTTTTTCAGGCATGTAGAATGTCAGCTTAAGGCCGGGTACTCATTCCCACCTGGATGAAGTGGGGAAAATTCGTGTAAAGTGCTTTTCCCAAAGACACAACGTCCGGCCGCGGCTCAAACCCTTGAACCCGCAACCTCAAGATTGCGAGTCCGGTAGCCTAACCATTAGGCCACCGATGCCACAAGTACATGTGTGTGCCTGATGGCTACCTTAGAATTACTCAGTTCTATCCGACAATTTTGGCCATTTTGAGTTATAAAGATCATGAGGTCAGAAACCAAATGTTCTGTCTGCTCTACCAAAATCGTAAGATTATTCAGGGTCATTATCAATATATTCAAAGATTTGTATTTGAAAGAGCAAGACATGATGTGTAACTCATCGAATTTCTCAAAACTAGGTAGGCCTAGTATTTATTTATTTATTTATTTATTTATTTATTTATTTATTTATTTATTTATTTATTTATTTATTTATTTATTTATTTATTTGTTTTTATATCCTCCCCTTCCCCCATTACGTGATCTATAAAAGTGTCGTTTTATTGATCTATGATTTGGCCCTACATGTGTCTGTCAGATGAAAGGAGTCAGTGGGAACCTGGACGCCCTGATTGCCACGGTCGTCAACGACATGTCCTTGACCGGCAAAGAGAACACCCAGGCTCGGCATCTGTCTGGTGGTCAGAAGAGGAAGCTGTCGGTGGGCATCGCTCTCATCGGGGGCTCCAAGGTCAGCCGTGTTTTTTTATTTGTTTAGTAACTTTTTTTTTTCTCTTAGGTGGAGAAATCCCCACCACCATGAAGAGGCTTTCATTTGGTACAAAATCTAAAAATGGCATATTGATCACTAACTTGGTCATTAACTCTAAAATAATTTCGGGGTTAAAGAGTTAAATGAAAACAAGGTGACCTAGTTTGATAGTCTTCGTCTAATGAATGAACTTCCGCTAAATGTGAATTGTTTTCAGCAATTGCTGAAAAGTAATTTGACGTCAGAGTCATCTTAAGGAATGTGCCCGAGCTGCCGCCTGTGGCTCACCTGCACCGCTGTTCCAACTGCGAGCCGCTGAGAGCGAATGGCTTGCCGGAGATAAGGAGTTTGAGTAAACGAGTCCTCCATTGAAAAACTTGTTTGTCCTTGTACACAGTACACATATACGAAGCTCACCATTCTCTGCGGGGGGGGGGGGGGGGG